ATTCTGAGAGGAATTGAAGAAAAAATTCCGGAATATAATGTACAGTCCTGCTCATTCTTTCGGTCACCTTGTAACGCTCATACTACTGTCCCTTACCGTCCATGATCTCACGCTCGGAAGTACAAATTTTGGCGCAGTTCGCATTGGGAATGGCATTTTGCACTTTCGCTTCTATCGTGGTGTACCACCAAGTAGCGATGTGTGAATTCTTGCGAAGCCATCAAGTGATACCACCTGATACCACTACAATAAAGCGTATCTGGTGACTCTTGTGAAGCAGCGCTAACATGATGATGGGAAGTAGCGCAAGTACAAAATGCCCCCCCCCCACCCCAGCACGCCGACTACGTACTGGTTCTGTATCCAACGTGTGACTCTTACAGTAGTTTGTTTTTCCAGGCATGAAAATGCGAGACGATCGTCCAGAGGAGTGGCCTCCACTCTTAGATGTGAGTGGTTATATTGTTTTTTTTAGAATCAAATTCTAAAGTTTTCCCATAAGAAACGTTCTCAATGCTTCTTTTAGAAACGCCAAATCCAGGATATGGTTCATGGCCCAATCTGTTTATTTCATCCATTGGATCGGATAGTGGATACGAGAGAATTTCAACGTCTCCGAGATCTGAAACAACTAGGAGTCACCTACTTGGTGTATCCTTGTAGCACTCATAGCAGATTTGTACATAGTTTAGGGTGAGTCAAGACTTCCTAGGAACTTTTTTAACTTTTAAACATTTTTATAGTTTTTTAGAAACTCAAAACTGAGAGGATCTTTTTAGGACCTATTGGTTGGCTTTCAAATTCGTTGAGATTCTCAAACGGGATCCTTACATTGAACATTACTGGGCAGGATCATCTCTGTGTGTCCTTAGCGGCACTATGTCACGATCTTGGTAAGTGCATGAAGTTAAAAGGCCCGTTCCGCGCCGATCGTGTGGGCGGAGTCAGTCGCACGATTCTGCCATCCTTTCTGGCAAAACGGTGCACCAATGGTACCGCTGACGCTGATTTTATGGTCGGCGTGGAATTCGCTTCTCACTCCAATGTACTTTCTAAAACAAGTGGAGTGAAGAATCAAGGTTAAAAAAAACATGCAATAGGCAACATTTCAGGTCATGGCCCATTCTCACATTTATTTGATGGAGCTTTTCGGGAGGCCTCCAGAGCAGCTAAATATACGGTGAGCTTACTGTTTATTTCCCTTGATTTTTTGATAATTTTAATGGCCTTCTGTGGCAAGCTCTTGATTAGTACTTTTCGCCCTGTACGACCCCAGATTTGAGCTTTGGGTCGAAAATCCGCTTTCGCTGGTGATTTTTCCTCAGAGTAGTTTAACCCGAGAGGAACAATAGATCCTGTTGAATTGTTCGCCCCCCAGGCGTCGTAGCAAAACATCCCAGAACACAAAATTTTGCTGGAAATGTCCCAGGAGTGGTTTGGTCCCTTAACGCGATTATAAAAACCACACGAAGCGAAAACAAGTGACACCCACGCTAAGAACAG